GGCCTTAAGTATTTGAGGGTATAGCATGCATTACTTGCTTTGATTTGATGATTTGGCATCATTTATAGCACCATTTCAGTCCCCTTTGCATGCTTGTATGCTTGCCTTGGTTGTCTCTTTGATGCCTTATGAGCTTGTGTTATATGCTCCATGTTTTGGCCATTGTACATACCTTTGAATTTGAGCCACTTAGATGCCATCTAAGGGGCCCCCTTTGCATGGTCTAGGTCTGCCTTGGACCTGTTTCAAGCCCTCTAGGCCTTGTGAGGCTTGGTTGGCTTAGCCATGGTTCAAGTCCCTTTGACTTGCTTCAAGTACTTGGGCCATTTATTGCATGCTTAGCCTATCTTGTTTGCTTGGTTTAGCACCATATTCTTGCATAATTTTCAGAGCTTAATGCAGGTCATTTATCCATGTTTGCATCCTCTTAAATGTGCTTGAGAATTGCTTTTAAATGCTTGAAGTATTGGACATCCTTCGCATGCATGTGTGTGTGTGTTTTAGTCCTTCATTTTGGGCACTTATGGCCACTGTTTTGGGCCTAATTAGAGCTGCCCAAATATGTTTAAGTCCAATCTTTACATATTGTTACATGTCTCACACTTTGCATGCTTTGATTGCACCATGTCTTGCATGTCCACTAGCTTGCATGCTTGTTCATTGCTTGCTTGTTTGCATTGCCATGTTGCGTCCCTAGCTAACATGCTTAGGTTGCATTGAACATGCATATCTTGTCCCTTGATTTAGTGATAGGGATTGGACCCCTTTGGTTTGTTGGTTTGCATTGCATTTGACATCAAAATGTGCACACTTGGTCCCTTGGGCCATCACGCATGGAAATGCGCGATTGGTGGTCCGAGAACCAAGGAGCATGTCCCTTTGACTCACTCACATGATAAGGAACATGATTGGTGCATATATGGCTTGAATTGTATTATCATGCAAAGTCCTGTCCTCTGCTGCTGTCAAACAGGTTCTGCAGGCATTCTCTGCCGATCGACTTCATAAAGTGCTAACCGGGAATAAACTGGCAGCCGATGGATTCATCATGTGCCGATGACCAACAGACTACTGCCGGTGACAATTCTGCTCAGCCGGTGGTGCTTCCCAATGTCCAGAGAAGCAACTCTGGGACTTTAACAGTCTTCAGAGGAGCAGAGCAGGGAAAACAGAAGCAGATTGCGCATGACAGTGAATTCCCGAGCAAGACCGAGCATGCATTGCATCGAGCTCTCCTCCCGAGGCGGTTTACTGTTTTTCCTAGCTTAGTTAATTTGTTAACTAATTAGGTAATTTGTAATGATTAATTAGCTAGGATAGTTAATTCATTATTCGAACTGTATTATTCTTTCGGTCCCTCCGAGCGAGGGTAAATTTGTAATAAGTGTGGGTGAGTGTGTGCATGTCTTCCAATCCCCACTTCTTTCTTCCCTTTTATTTACCTGCTTATGATGGTAGACTAGGGCATATTTAAATTAGCATACCTTATGCTATGCATGCGTGCATCCATACATTTGTCTTGCATGCACCGAGCTCGGTACATCATGCTAACTGCATTTGTATTTCAAATCCAAATTGAATACGTGCATCAACTGATTGCATTTCACATACCATGTTGAGGTTAGCCGAGCCTACTCTAATTGCATCCTGTATGTGTTGCATTAGACATTCAAACATGGATTTGGATCATGCATCGTTTACTAACGAGTTTATTGTTTTGGCATGGAGTACGATGTAAGTATTTTTATGTTTTAGCATATCGCATGCGTGTGAATGCTATCATAATAGCATGTTTACCATGTGGCTAGATGTTTATGTGATAAACTGTTTAAATGCCTGTGGGTGAAGGTTGGATTGCCTGAGTTGGAAACATTCGTTGAAATCCGTGTTTTAGCCTACTTGCGGGTAGCAAATTCCAAAACATTTTCCCAAGACAAACGGATATGCAATACTTATTTCCAAATTAGGCAAACTAGTCTATACTTGTTTGCTGTGCGCATAACGTAGTAATTCTAGGCTAATAATCGGGATAAGAACACATAACGTTTTCAAAATCGGATATCACGGTTAGTAGAGGCCGGTCCTCGGACCGGGCGAGAGGGGGTGCTCATAGCTGACCTTCCCCAATCGTACCCAAGCTCCCGAGCCGAGGCAACTTTGGTGATGACGGACACGTGGCCTTTGGCATCGAGTCAGGGTTTCCTAAATTCTCCCATTTTAAAATATTTAAGTGGCGACTCTGTATCTGGTAAAGCAGTCCATGTTTGGCACTTCTTTTCTAAAAATCTGTTTCTCAAAACGATTTGCCGGATTTGGACTCTTTGGTTCAGATTAAGGACCGCAAACAAAATCGAGTCCGAACTGTAGCAGCGGAGCCCCCCACGCGGGCGCATCTACAAAGTTCTTTAGACATTTCCACTATCGACACCCTTTTTTGGGTACCTTCACCTTTTTTTTTTTTTTGAATTGAAAATTTGGATTCTTTAAAATCTTGTTTTTCTGAAGATTGGATTTTAGTGTTATGTTTAAAAGTGCTATTTGATTTTGGGATTGTTTTGATGAGTGATTCTCTGGACATATATGTAGATTACTTGTACTCTTACATATATGCTTATCTCATGTTGATATTTAAATATTGTATTCAAATTTTGAAAGAATGGACTAATATTAATTAATCACCGCATTAATATAGTAAGATTGTATGTAAATGGTTAAATTAATGGTCCATGAATTGTTATACAATTCAAAATCTGGGCCCCCACAATGTTGATTTATTTGTTTTAGTTGTTCTCAATCACATTCACACAAAGCCAAGGATGATCTTGTGCCATTCATGGGTTTTATTCCAGAGTGACTACAGATTGCAATTCTAAGGTGTCATTAGCTGATTTTTTTATTTTTATTTTTTCATTTGCTCTTATCTGATCTGAGAAATAGAGCAGATCATCATGGGTTTTGGTTAAAACCAAAGAATTGCTGGATATTTGACATGATTAAGTTCATTTTAGATCATCTCCAATCCTTAATCATGTTTTCCCCATCAAATTTGAGTCTAAATTTGGTTAGAAGTTTGATCTAATATAAAACACTATAATCTTTCCTTCTTCTTCTTCTTTTTTTTTTTTTTTTTCATATCAAATCTTTTTGAAAAATTTCAAACTTATCCTAAAAATTTGTTTTACCATTTTTTATGACAGAAACCCACCTCCATTCCTTACTCTTTTTAAAATTTTATAAAATTTGAGTAAAAATATGATTGTTAGAAGTTTGGTGAAGGATTTGGTACATCTTTGATTTGGTGAAAAAATTGTTTCTCCCTTGATTTGACGCAGACTTGAAATGGTTAGAACACGGTTTTAGTCATTTTTTCATCAAATTTGAATTTGATGAAAAAATTGATGAGGGATTGGAGACACTCTTACTTGAGGTTATAAATTTGGAATGAGATGTTCACTTTGCTTTAGTATTTGTTAATTAATAATTATTATTTTCTTAACAATCAGTAGGAGGGAAATAGGGATTAGGGAAGATGTTTCACTCCATATGTTCAACCTACCTCAAGGAGGTAAAGGATGCTTCCCAAAGGAGGCTACAAATTAAACACAGCCAAATAAATAATTTCTGGGGAATTTCAACTATTTGTGTATATTTATTAATGTAAATTAAATTCATCAATCTTTTGCATCTTTCAAATACATGACCCCTGAGATGGAGCTATTAAAATGAGGTCCATTGCTTTGCATGATGCTATTCGTAGAAGCAATTAATGAACCTAACTGCCTAAAAAAAAAATGGAGAATAATTTTTTGGTTGGTATCCTGTTTCTAAGCTTACTGCTAACCGGAAGCATTACCGGCGTTCTCAAAATCATTGGAATGCAATATCCTAGTAAACATATGGAATTTCAGAGTACATCAATTAGGGAGATATAATTGAGAGGCCCATTTTGAAGTAGGAGACAGATCTGTAGTGAGTGTTCTTTGAACACATAGTATAGTAGTATGTCTATGATGTGTATGTTTGTCTCACTCTAAGTCATTGATTGACTGTGCATTATCTCAAAACACACAATGCCTAAAAAATTTTCCTCCGTTTTCTATTGAAAAATCAAATGTGGATTTTCAGTCACAAAAGCCAAAATCCATGACAAATTTGAACCATTAACTATTAAGTACTGACTGTGAATTCATGAACGATTCTTGGATTTGAATCTCAATTTGTGTTTTCCCCCTTTTCAGAGATCCCCTGGTTCTCTTCCCAAACTTTCCTCCATACCTTCGCGGTCTTCTTCATCATGTTGCCCCTTCCTTTAGGGATGTTAAATAGGTGTCTGGGACTTCCAAAATAGTGAATCATGAATTGCAATATTCACTTTATTTATCATAATACATAAGTTTATGTAGGGATATACATATAAAAATACACATAGTATTTAAATAATCGCAGTGAATCGCAATTGAATCATAAGATTCACTCAACTTAAGATTCAACAATACAAATCAAATTGTTTTGGTTGAAACTCGTATTGAATTGATGTGAATCGTAAGATTCTAACAACCATGCTCTAAGTTATCTTCTGTTATAGAAACATAAGGGTGGAATTTGTAAATGATTATGTACAGAAAATCTAAGTAACTTGCTGTTCAGGATTCTGCTCCATTTCTATCATCTACAGGAACTGGATGAATGATCAGCCAATTGTATCATTAATTGCTTTGGAGGTCTTTCTGTGGGATTTTTTAAATGAACTTATGTGTTGCTTGTGTTTCGTTGCATGCTATTCTGTTCTATTGTTGATGTGCATATTGATTTCTTTTCTGGTTTTTATCTAAGCGAGAAGCGACAATAGAGGAGAGAACGATGATGGAACACAAAAGGAGCCCCCTTTCTATTGATCAAAGCAGTCTCACTACTTTTTCACCAAAACGACACAAGGCTGACTTGTCCATCTCCTAAGGTTTCTTATCATCTTCTACATTTGTGCAATTCTCTCCTTGTATTATTGTTTTCCATTTAGCTGTATTGTTCTTTGTTTTCTTTTATGTAATTGAATACCAAAATTACATTTTGGAAGGAGAATGGTTTCTAATAGTACTTTTCAAACTCAAAATAAACTCGGTGAGAAACAAAACAAAAAAATTTAAATACTGCCTTATATTCTGCCGGATTCTTGGAAGTTGTGGAAGCCGGGTAATTTGGGAGGTCTACCTGTTTGATTGGCACATCCATTCTTTTATCATATGATGCTTGCTTTTCCATCTTTAAAATGTTCGTTTGGATGATAGGAGAGGAAAGAGAAGCTTAGCGAAAGAATTGGGGCTCTGCAACAGCTTGTTTCACCATATGGGAAGGTATGACAACTTACTCTTTCTAAGCAAAGCATGCGAAATGTTTGTTGCACTAGGCTGGAATCTACTTGAAACCTACACACTGCTTATATTGAAAGTGGAGCTAAGAATCTATGCATCCCACAAAAGAAAAAGAAAAATGATTTTGTCAATGATGATGTCGATTTAGGTTGTGATTTACATGTTGATGTGGTTTATGTTATGGCTTTTTCATAAAAGTTTTTAATGTTAAAAGTATTTTACCTTTGTAATTCTCACTCAGTTTAAGTTTGTTGCAGACAGACACAGCTTCCGTTCTTCTAGGGGCTATGGAATATATTAGATTTCTGCACGAACAAGTTAAGGTTTGGCCTTCCCCTGCTTTAGTTTGCTTGAAGATTACCTAACTGTTCAATTTTACTTTTTATGGGATGTCTTGAAGAAACTTTTGGTCGTCTGTAAGCTTGCCCTAAACTATGCTGGCTTAAAGTTATGCAATGGAAAATCCTTGTATGAATTACTTGGCCAAAATCATCCTAGTTTTATTTTAACATCCAAATAAACACATGCCTGTTTGAATGCTTATTATTCTTTATTTTGAAAAAGAATACCAATCATTATAAAGGGTGATTTGGGAATGGCCATCATTTCATCAGTAACAATCCCCGCACGATATCTTACGTACAGTATAGAAAAATAAATAGGCACATACCTGTGTTTCATAAAACCAGTATCACATGTAAGACCACACCAGTTCAACCATCTCATAGGCCAATCAGTTTAGTCGATGGTTGTAACATATCAGTACTCAAATAAGTGAACACATTTTAAAGGTCATTTAAGTTTTCAAGCCAAACTTGAACAAATTACTACTCGGTTCAATACGCTTATATGCATTATAAAAAACAAGCTACTAAAGATTGACTCGTTATCGGCTCGTTTAAAACTTATTTGAGATCGCCTCGGAAAGTAAACGAGCCAAACAAGGCAAGCTTAAACGCATTTTGAAGCTTTTCAAGGTAAACAGCCCAAGACTTTGGGGTGATGGACAAGCCAAACAAGTCAAGCTCGACTCATGTTCAACTAGTTAAAAGTTGTTCGAGTTTAGTTCGTTAAGTAAACACGCCAAACTTGAACACATTTTGGATATCTTTAACGCTTTCAAACCAAGTTTGAATAGCCAATTGCTTGTTCAGCTCGGCTCGATAAGCCTAAAACTACATAAAAATTCCAAACTACTTGTACTCGGACTTCGACAAAAGCTAGTTTGAGATCAGCTAAAAAATTTAACATTCGAGCTTGAATAAATTTTGAAACTGTTAAAATTTTCAAATCAAGCTTAAACAATTAACTGTTCAGCTCATTCATCACCCTACCAAGACTGACTAGTTTACAGCTATAATTATTGCGAAGAATGTCATGCAATATCAAAAGATCTTACAAAAGTTCCATAACTTGAGCTGTGTTGGCCGCACCGAATCTAAGCCTTGGATTTGGAATTGGAGGCTACTCCATTAAATTTTTTCACCGAGATAGCTTCCAGTTTCAATACCAAATCTAGCATTCCATGCTTCCAAACACATTTTTAACAGAATCACGAATCTTAATTTCTTCTCTTCTTCTTCCATTGCATTATCAACAAATTCATTAAACATCCAATAGTTCGATACAGGTGTGTGTACGTACAAATATATATGAGTGGAGATTGGTGGTCTAGGGTTTTGGGGGAGAGACATGAATGAGAGAGAGGAGGATGAGAGGTTTGGTCCATGGAAGATGCGAAGGGTTGGGAATTTGGAGGGGTTGGAATAGGCTGACGATGATGATAGACATGAATATCCCATCACAGAAGAGTTCATGAGGACTTCGTTCGGGCTCAACCAAACGAATCAGGATCCTCTACTTAAGTTTATTACTTAGACTTTCTATTTGCTGCGCCATTGAATCTATTTTTAGGTTAAATTTTGATAATTTGAATCCTTTGGTGTGTTTGGTAACGTTTACGTTTTTAGTTTATATTTACAAAAATTTTATAAACTGGTTTTTGTTTATTTTTAGAAAAACATAAACTGAACATAAACTACAAACGTGTTTAGTAATTAACAAAATGTTTAAAAAAATTTAAAAATATAAAAAAGAGTGAGAAATGGCAAGTGGCGGCAAGTGGCTGAGGAAGATGGTGATGGAAAGTGGTGACGGTAGGTGGTAGGTAGGTGGTGGCGGGTGGCTGGTGGGTGGGTGGGTGACGGTGGCGGGTGGTAGACAGACACTATGGTCCGCCTGCATGGCACCTCGACTAACAACTTCAGCCACGTGGACTACCCAAAAATATATCCCCATAATATGGTTTTTATGTTTTAAACGGTTAGAAAAATTACTTCAATAAAATTTAATATTTTCAATCTAAACTATTTGCATATTTTTACTAAGTAAAATTGACAAAAAAAAAAAATATTTTAACCATTAAATTCCAGGTGAGTGTACAAAATATGTTTAAAATATCATTTTTCATTGAATTTAATGATTAAAATAATTTTTTTCGATAATTTTACTAAAAATAAGCAAATAGTTTAAATTGAAAAAAATCAAAATATTATGATTTAAATTAATAAAATTGAAAATTTAGAATTTATTTTGTTAGAATTTGTTTGGGTTTGAATAAAAATTTATTAACTTAAATTACATTTGGTCCAATTGTCCCAATTTTAATTTTATTGTTAATAATTTATGGTTATATATAATAAATATCAAATTTACATGTTTTTGACATTGCATTAAATATTTTATAAAATAAAATATAATTGTGATGTGTAATGATGTCAATGGCCAATAATCACAAAAAAGAAAAAAAAAATCCAAACAAAAAAAAATTCAAAATAATTTGCTAGTTGTGTTTCATGTTTATAATTTTTTTGAAATATTTTTATCTTTTATTTTAAGAAAGTACAAAAACTCCGCCGGGGTTGTTAACAACTCCGACGGTCTTAAGCTTGGGTTAAGGATAGGGTTGTGTGTTAGGTAGTCGACAGTTAATACGTAAAAAAGTCACTCGGATCCCTTGTGATAATGAATCTTACTTTGAATTGTTTAAATGCTAGGTTGTTCCCCTCAAGTGACGCGTTGCGCTTGCCTCCTAGTGTTTCAAAAAGTGAGTAAGGAACACTGCATCGATGCCTGGGTGCGATGAAAAATGGGCAAAGTTCCTACGTTTTTCTATACTAGCGCGGGTAAAGAAACTAGTCCAAGACTATAGGTTTAAGGTAGCCACTTGAAATATAATGGAATTGGTAGATGTTATGATTAGGAGGAGAGTTAGTATAACTTGCATACACGAAACTAAATGGACGGGTGAGAAAGCTATGGAAATTGAGGATACCGGTTTTAAACTGTATTATAGTGGTAAGGATAGGCGCAGGAATGGAGTAAGAATCTTAAATGCCATGAGTCTTGTAGAGAATGTAGTGGCGGTCATTAGAAAATGAGATAAGATTATGTTAGTTAAACTAGTTATTGGAGGGAATATAGTGAACGCTATTGGTGCATACGCCCCTCAAGTAGGATTAAATGATCAGACCAAGAGGGATTTTTAGGAGCAAATGGATGAGATCTTACGGGAGATACTCATATGAGAGAATCTGGTTACAGGTGGAGATTTTAATAGTCATGTAGGCATAGATAAACTAGGCTATGAAAAGAGTGCATGATGGATACGGTTTTGGTGACAGAAATGAGGCTAGAGAGAGTATCTTAGATTTTGCGTTGGCTTCTGACCTAGCGGTGGCCAATACTATGTATAAGAAGAGGGAGGAGTATTTGATAACCTTTAAGAGTGGGTTAGTTAAGAGCCAAATAGGTTACTTCTTAGTGAAAAAAGTGGACTGCCTAAAATGCAATGATTGTAAGGTGATTCCTGGAGAGAGCCTGACCTCTCAACATAGGATTTTGGTACTAGATTTATGTTTTAGAGGGAAATACCAAGCTAGGAAGGATGTTGGGCGTCATAGGACGAGATGGTGGGACCTAAAAGGGGATAAATTAGAAATATTTAATAATAGAATGGATAAGGAAGGTACTTGGGACTTGAAAGATGATACTAACAATGTGGAATTCGATGACTAATTGTATAAGGAGAATCTCAAGGAAAGTGCTTGGAGAGTCCAAAGGAATGAGACCCAGCTCTAGGGAAATTTGGTGGTAGAGGGAAAAGGTTCAAGAGATAGTTAAGGCAAAAAAAAAAAGTGCTTTAAAAAGTGGCAAAATGATAGAATTAAGGAAAACCTTAAGAGCTATAGATTGGTTAATAAGGAGGTCAAGAAAGTAGTGAGAGAGGCTAAGTTGAAAGCTTATGATGACCTATACACTAGACTAGATAGTAAGAAGGGAGAGAAAAGGGTATACAAACTTGCTAAAATACGGGAGAGGGACTTTGAAGTGGAGTTTGCACTTAAGAAGATGAAATTGAATAAAGCTTTAGAACCCAATGATATACCTATTGAAGCATGGAAATGTTTGGGTAAGAAGGGAGTTATTTGGTTTACTAGGTTATTTAGCAAGATTTTGTTGACTAGGAAAATGCCAGAGGAGTGGAGGAAGAGTATTTTAGTACCAATATATAAGAATAAATAAGATGTCCATAATTGTAACAACTATAGAGGAATCAAGTTAATGTGTCATATAATGAAAGTGTGGGAGAGGGTGATAGAACGCCGATTGTGAGATATAACAGAGGTGTCAAAGAATCAATTTGGGTTTATGCCTGGTAGGTCAACAATAGAAGCGATCTATTTTTTTAGGAGAGTAATAGAAAGTTATAGAGAAAAGAAAAGAGACATTCATATGGTATTTATCAACCTTGAGAAAGCATATGATAGAGTGTCCCGAGATATAATATGGTGGGTGTTAGCGAAAAAAAGAGTGATAAAAGGTTACATTGATGTGATTAGGGACATGTATGAAGGGGTGGTGACCACTATTAGATCGCCTGCTGGAGAGACAAATGAATTTCCTATCACTGTAGGGTTACACCAAAAATCTACCTTAAGTCCTTATCTTTTTGCTTTAGTTATGGATGAGTTGACGAGAAATATCCAGGATGATGTGCCATAATGTATGCTTTTTGTAGATGATATAGTGCTAGTGGATAAGACTAGAGAAGGAATTAATACAAAGTTAGAGATTTGGAGAAAAACTCTTGAATCTAAAGGATTCCGGATAAGTAGAACTAAGACAGAGTACATGGAGTGTAAATTTAGTAACAGTAACAATGAAAGTAGAGGAGAAGTGAAGATTGAAAACCAAGAACTGCCTAAGAGTGAATATTTTCGTTATTTAGGGTCGATTATCACAACAGCGGGGGAGATTGATGCGGATGTGGCCCATAGGATTAAGGCAGGATGGTGTAAGTGGAGAAGTGCGTCTGGGGTACTGTACGATAAACAAATACCCACTAGACTTAAAGATAAGTTCTATAGAATGGCTATTATACCATCGATGTTGTATGGGACGGAGTGTTGGGCAACCAAGAAACAACATGTAGATAAGATTAGTGTGGCTAAAATGAAAATGTTAAGGTGAATGTGTGGCAAGACCAGACAAGACAGAATTAAGAATGAGTGTATTTGGGAATGGGTAGGAGTAGCACCGATAGAAGATAAATTGAGAGAGAATCGATTAAGATAGTTTGGTTATATTCAACGGAGACCAACAGAGGCAGTAATAAAGAGATGCGATACTGTAACGGTAGATGGAAGTGTTAGGGGACGAGGTAGGCCTAGATTAACATTGGTTAGCATTGTAAATAGATATATGAATCTACTTAATTTGACTAACGAAATGGCCTTTGATAGGATTGCATGGAGAAGAAGGATTCATGTAGCCTACCAAATTTGATGGGACTTAAAGTTTGGTTTGGTTTGGTTTGGTATTTTTAAGAAAGTACAATATAATAGTTCTGTTCAGAACAATGTTCAAGCTCGAACTAAGTCCACGCTAAGCCTTTCGAAAGATGTTAATTTTGAGTTTTGGGGATGAGGGGAGTCGAACCTGAGACATTGGAAAGAGCAAACCCCCAAATCTCAAATCTCATCCACCAAGCCAAACTCTTGGGTTACTAGATCCACAATTTGCAATCGAATTTAGATAAAACCCCGATCCAAACCACACGAGTTGAATTGAATCCCTATGCATAAATTAAAACCATGCAATAATCACATTACCATGATTATTGTGCATTTGAAAAGACTTGAATGGTTTTCTTTTGATTTATTTCCATTGCATATATGAGTTAATAATACTAGGATATGCATATATGATTCGAACAGAACTATTTTGGTGCTACAAGATTTGGCATGTCGTCTAAAACTAATAATATGTTCTGAAATTCGAACACAACTATTTTGGTGCAGTTCAGTTTTGTTGGCACATAAAACATCAATTCATCAAAGCAAGAAAAACCACTATCAACAAAAGAGCAGCACAAGCAGAAAAATATACCATATACAGTTGAATAACACCAATATAATGTTCTAGAAGCTTGTTAGCAACTTAAAATCAAGATGACAGAGCAATAAATAGAAAATCACACTGCTAAAAACATTGACGAGCTCAGGTGTTTTCACATCTATCAGTTCTCAATAATATATATATATATATATATATATCGTTCTGTATACATAGGGGCCGATAGAGACCCCAGATCAATCTTGAATAACTCCCTTATCTATGCTAAATTGTACAAGTGATATGAGGTAAACTATTTTCTGTTGCCAGAACTACTTT